CTTGGATTTATAAGATAATAAATCAAAAAATAAAGAAAATATAAGTTGATTGGCTTTTACAAAAGGATAAACATTCAAGGAACATTATTTGAAGTAACCTTACATACTAAGTCTTCATTCTTTATTGTAAAATTCACTTCGTTTGTGGATACCTATATAAAATAAAAGTACCTGGGGACCAAGCTTTGCTCGGGGAAAATCATTAGTTCACTCTGTAGGCAGTCTTAGTATTGGAGATACATAAATCCATTCCCAAACTCCACACGGCTCGCCTTAACTACGTCCTACACCATTTCCTACGTCATGGACTTGTTTCCCTCCAATCCCATAGCACTTTAGGATTGTAGATACCTTAATCTAATCGTTATTAACAGTTCCCACACTCCGGACAGCTCGCCTTGGATACTTCCTTCACCACTTCCAACGTAGCGGACCTGTTTTCCTCCCTTCCCATCGCATTTCAGAATTGCAGACACCTCTTAATCTAATCGTCATAACAGTTCCCACGCTCCATACTACTCGCCTTTACTACTTCCTTCACCACTTCCTACGTCGCAAACCTGTTTCCCTCCCTTCCCATTGCATTAAAAATTGCAGATACCTTAATCTAATCGTCATAAACAGTTCTCACACTCCGGATTACTCGCCTTGACTACTTCCTTCACCGCTTCCTAATTCGCAGACCTGTTTTACTCCTTTTCCACAGCATTTTAGGATTGCAAATACCTTAATCTAATCATCATAAACAGTTCCCACGCTCCAGACTACCTTAACTACTTCCTTCACCACTTCCTACGTCACGGGCCTGGTTCCCTCCCTTCCCATAGCATTTTAGGATTGCTCATACCCTTATCTAATCGTCATAAACAGTTCCCACACTCCGGCCAGCTCGCCTTGACTACTTCCTTCACCACTTCCTACGTCGCGGACCTGTTTTCCTTCCTTCCCATAGCATTTTAGGATTGCAGATACCTTAATCTAATCGTCAGAAACAGTTCCCACACTCCGGACTACTCGCCTTGACTACTTCCTTCATCACTTCCTACGTCACGGACCTGTTTCCCTCTATTCCTATAGCATTTTATGATTGCCTTTACTACCTCCTTCACCACTTCCTACGTCGCGGACCTGCTTCCTTCCATTCCCATAGCATTTTAGGATTGCAGATACCTTAATCTAATCGTCATAAACAGATCCCAGACTTCGCACTGCTACCCTTGACTACAATTGTATCGAGTAATCTTCAGTATAATCTTTGCTCAATATTAACAAGTGATGTTTTTCCTTTTGTACTGTATTTCTAATTTGCTAGCATACTGTGGGTAGTTAGCTTATCATGAACACATGCTACAACTTCAAGTCTTTTGTTTACTCTTTCCTTGTTATTTAATTCAGCCAACATGGTTACATCTAGCAACCCATAAGACTAATGTAAAAAATAAATTGATTTTCGTTTCATTTTTCTACGTAATTAGATTTTTGTTGGCAGTTCTAACTGCAGTAAACTCGTTTTTAGGCCAGAAATAAACTATGTATAACATTTGAAGAAAATCGTCGGAGCCGTTTTCGAGATCTTGGTACAAGCAAGCAAGCATACATACATACATACAAGCAAACATTGCTCGTATTAGAATATAGGATAGAGAAGTAAGATTTCACTGCACAACGAGCTCAGGAACCCCGAGAACCAGCAATAATAAGTTGGAAATAACCGGCCGTTCCTTCAACTAGATTTTCCATTCTTATAGAACAGCTGAAGCCAATTTTATTGTTAGTTTTGTCCGGTATTCGGTAGATGTCGTGTTTTGTTTACAATTTTTTTCTTGTTATTTCAGTAATTTAAAACCTCGTTTAACCAAATAAAACTATCTAATCATAAACAATAACTCGTCCACTAGCTTATACATAACCAAACAGTGAGACATAAATAATGAGAAACTATCCCTAAAATAATATAAACAAATTGTAAACAAAATATGACATCTACAGAAAACCGGACAGAACTAACAATAAAATTGGCTTCAGCTGTTCCATAAGGATGGGAAATTTACTAAGGGACTATGTTTTATCTATGCTTCAACCATCCGGCTCGCTAGTCGCTACCCCAGATCGGTCGGTAGCCCATCAATGGAACCCGTTAAGGCTCGCCCCTGCAATAGACGCGGGAAAACTATTTCTGTGCTACGGCACGGCCCGCGCAACACCGGATACCGTTATCGTATAAGTTGGCGCTGGAGTCTACTAAAACTTTCTCTTTTGATGAGGAAGACTCTTAAATAAAAATATTAATAACGGATACATATCTATATGATACATACCTACCTGATTTGTTAGTTTCGTTTTAATTTCATGTGTTTATATATTTTTTCTGTTTTGCATTTCCATTTATATTTTCAGGATCATGTTATATTATGGCTATGTATTGAACTTAACTCTAATGAATGATTTTTGTATTCTGTGTTAGTAATAGTACTGTTTATGTTCTTATTTCGTTTTTTTTCAAATGGTTTAAAGCTTTTTAAATTATACCTGCAGTTCTGTCTGGTGATCCATGGATAGTGCAAACGACAAGAGTTCATTTATGTCAGACTTCTGATACCATTTATTTAATCTAGTAGTAGCATTGGTTTAAAGCTTTAATTTAAATAGCTGTGTTAAGCTGTGAAATTTGTGTTTTAGCTATAGCTTAGAACATCTGTTCTAGCTTCTGCTCTAAGTCTTAAACGTGTCGACATTTTAGGTGAGTACGGTAACGCCAAATCCTGAACATATAAATCAACAAATCCTAAATTGACACATAGACCTATTCACGTCTTAAATTTAAATTGAAGATTCCACAGGATTTTAGAGTTCCAAGATTTGACTAGCCCTTCTAAAATGTTAACATTAAAAATTTGGAAATTTGGACGGGGAATAACTAGAGGTGACTAGGCCTACGTATTACTGTAATTGAGTAATTAGAAATTATAGATAAAACATAGTCTCTTAGCTATTAACCTACAGAATCAGACCTATATTGCTTCGGTAGTTTAGGTGTGGTTAAAAGAACTGGGCGCTGGGAGGCAAAACGCGATAATTCCTCGGACGATTCGGTAACGGGGATATTCCCCGCGAGCCGGGTAGATGCAGGGTGACGTCCGCTCAATTACCCACCCGAACCAGTTTTGTCCGCCTCACCCACGTCCGGGGGAAACACGGCACCATACTAGGGCCGTATTCCGGGGGAGACGTTCGGGATTTTGCTGCGATAGTGGAAGACGATATTAATGTTACGAGTCAGGCAATATTTAAAATTTTGGCACGATTGTGCCAAAAAAAGAAGAAAAAGATGATGTTCCCGTTACCAACATTAGGGAGATATTCTAAACATCATGAATATCCGTACCACGGGAGATATTAGGGGTTTGGTTGCAATCATGGTAGACGATGACAATGTTTCCGTGACTGCGTGAAATATTCACGATTTCGCCTAGGTCACGGAAGACGATGAGGACTCCTCGGAAGATGCCATACCAAGCCCAAGTGTAAACTTGAGTAGTGGAAATAGGCCTACCTATTTTAATGATTACTATGGGAGAGCGGGCACTGGTGAACAAACTTTTGGGGGGCCGCAAGTTCATATTGTGATATATGCTATTTCATAATCTAAGTATTTTGACGATTGCAATGCATGTTATATGATGTTAAAAGCAATAAAGACATTTCATTTCATTTCATATCGCTGCCACTACATAGTTGTGGTTCTCTGATTATTTTCCAGAATGTGGGTCAAACTAGGAGGATTGTAAAATATTCAGATATAGGACAATTCCTATACTTTACTTCTAGTACTGGTGAATTGATATGAATTAAACCATTGACTATATAAACAAACACTAATAGTCAAAATTATTAAATTTCTTTTTATTAGTTTCACGACATCGAAGTTGTGGCCAATAACATTCAAATTTCCTTAAACGATTTGGTGGAATGGTTCACAAAATGGAGAATAGCCATAAATCCGATGAAGAGTGAAGCGAAGATTTTTACCCTCCGAAAACCTCTAGATCCTCCAAATTTAGAAATTCTAGGTGAACAGATTGCATGGAACCCTCCTGACCAAGCAATAAAATATTTAGGTGTATACTTCGACCGAAAGTTAAATTGGAAATTTCATATTAATAAAAAATTAAATTTGGCTTATGGCAGATTATCAAAATTGTTTCCTTTAATCAACAAAAAATCATGTATGTCTATGAAGAATGGAACCCTTTTATACAAAACACTTCTACGTCCACTGTTGTTATACGCCTGCCTAGTATGGGGAACTGCTTCACCAAGCTCAATTCGCAAACTGCAAACATTTCAAAATAAAGTTTTAAGGATAATTCTAAAATGTCCCTGGTATTTTCGAACCCGTCAAATACATTTAGAACTGGGAATAAAACCTATAGAAGATTTTATCAAGAAAGTTACATCAAAATTTTTTACAAAACTTCCATTAACCAGCAGCATTGGATTTCATAACACAGGCCAACCTTCTGAAATCCAGAGACTCCGATTAAAACCCAGATTGCCTCAAGATGTTTTATTATAACCATTGTTTTGTTTTCATTGATTTGTGTTTCATTGGTGGACAGTGCCTTTTCAGTCCGACCCGCTAAAACAGTGACAATAAGTGCCTGAGGGGCTAAGCTGACCTCTATCCATGTTAATGTAATTAATAATGTTATTTTTGTCTTTCTTATATTATACCTAACCTGTATAGCAATGAAATGCTGATCGGTTAATAAAATCTTAAAGAAAAAAAAAAACGATTCAATGGCATTGGTACTACTGAATAGTAAACATATTCAATGTCAATTGTGCTACAGTATTTTAATTTTGGCTTCATGGCACTACAATTCGCGCTAGCCAACTAAGAAAAAATGTAATAATGCCATCTGTTCGAGCCAGCCAGCCAGCTCCAGCTGACTAGCTGAGCTGATTCAATTCCATTTCCATAACATATAACAAACACAAGTCCTATCACATGTCAGGAGGAGATTTTGTTTTGGTTTTACTGTTTACAACATTTCTCACTTTAGGTTATATCTAACTCCATGAAAATATTATAACTAACAATTGCTTGAAAACAAATGTAAGTAAAACGGATTTCTTTGCTAATACAATGAGTTACTTTAATGGCAACGGCAACACAAACATAACCTCTTGTGTGAAAACCCTGTCTTTAATTTACAATTTAATATTCATACAGTACGTTCAATTAATCACAATTTACTAATATGTTAGCAATAATTGTGATTAGATTTAGTCTTAAGTTAAATCCGATTTTTTAAGTCAATATTAATTCATTATTATGTAAAACTTGTCTCAGGTTAGGTTATGTTTGAGTAAACCTGTAAAGCTAAACAACATATTTGCTATTTTTTTTTGCTATAAACAACGTCAATATTAACTACTGCAGTCGTAGATTAGTCACAATAGCAATAATGAATACACACCTTGTAAGACTTAAATTTGTTTAATCTCATGAGTTGATACACCAGGAAAATAATTTGATATTTAACATTGACAATAGAATATCAATGTGAAAGGTATAGCGAGAGCTGTAACTTGAGTCATCCATAATTTAAAATGCATCTTTAAGGTTACGTTATAGGTGCAACTGAGCTTCCTCTACTAATACAATGCTGCGGCAAGACACAAGTGGCAACAGCGCTGTCCCGTCAAGTCAAACCGAAAAAGGTGTTGCACTAATTTATAATGGAGCGTATGGGCAATGTTTATGTTTACATTTTTGTTATTTCTGCTATTATCATGGCAATAGACATGCCGTTGCGACATTGTCACACGTCAACCTTGTATTAGAGGAGACTATGGTGCAACTCCCTACTATCTCTTCTCCCCAGCATTGCAACGTTCTCTGGTATATTCGAGCTTGCATATATTTTTCTCAACTGTAACTTATCTAATGTAGCAATTAAGTTATACCGGTACCATTATACATAATCTGTTAAATGAATAGTTATCTTATATTAAAACGTAAAGGATTATTGTGAAAGTTGTCATTGTTTTGCAACGCTTCAATGTAGGCCTACAAGGTCAAACTGTCAAACAAAATAACTGTATCATCGTTTGAGTGTTTTATACTAAGTCAATTGTTGCAGATATCCACCATGAGATTAGTTAATATTGAGAAGCTCGGCGAGCTTCAAAACAAACCTTCAAACATCAGGAACATCTGCATCATGGCACATGTTGACCATGGAAAAACAACATTGGCTGATTCCCTGGTGGCAAGCAACGGTATTATTTCCCAGAGAATGGCTGGAAAATTGAAGTAGGTTTAATATTTTGACTTTCAATTAAAATCTTTAGCTTTAATGTTGATGAAATTTTTATGAATGACTTACAAAACACACCAAGTTCTGGCAATACATATAATATTGTAAGGAAGTTTTTCTGAATTACCAGTAATATTTTTATTTTTTATTTTATTGACAAGTTCTCCATGATAAAATAGTTTACCCAATGCTTGAACCCTTAAAGACTACACTTCAAGTGTTGATAAATTAGAGGCTAATATGCGGACAAATTTCAAGTGCCCGAAGTTTTTCAGAGATAATGCCTTTTTGAGACTTAAAACAATTTAAATAGGCCTAAACTATATTTTCAAAAGGTTTAGTTAAATATTTTTTGGTTTGTTATCCTTAGTGTGGTTCTTCTGTAAGTTTGATTACCTCTTTATGTTTTTAACTCAGGTATCTGGACAGCCGAAAAGACGAACAAGAACGAGGTATCACCATGAAAAGCAGCTCAATAGCACTGTATTATAAAAGTGGTAAGTCAATAAAATCCTCCAGTACCTAGACTATCGACTGTATTAGTTACTTGTAAGAGTTACATAAAAGACCAAAATTGGTGGATGGTTTTAACTGTGGAAGCAAAGTTTAGTAAGACGGTATTGAAAATATTTGAAACAGAATTCTTTTAGGGTCTCTGCTTAAAACTTTGCACACAACCTCTTGCTTTATAGCTTATTTTATTTCCATCAAGACACAAATTAAGTTCTTTTGTAAAAGTTAAAAATAGGCCTATCCTGCCACCTTTCAGCGTATTACAAAATAACTTAATTAAATAGGTTTTACAACATGTCACTTAAACAATTTTTTAAGTTCTAGAAATATATCTGTAGTCAAATCAAAACATACTTCATTTCCAAAAATAGTGCAGAATATAAATTATAAACATAACTTCCAGTTAAACAGACACCTTACTTGCTATTGCATAGATAAAAATAATTAAATATAAAAATACATGTAAACTGAATAATAACAACAAAGGAGTGTATGGTCTCAGAGAAGCTATGTTAAACATATACATTAAGGAAATAAGCCTACATGGGCTGGAAGCCTGTGCGTAGGCTCAGTCGCTATCAGTGACTTTCGTATTTGTTGGAAAACAATAATATTCATAATTCAGAAAATCTTAAAAACAAATAATTTAATATAATTGTAAAACTATTCTGAGGCTAAATTAGTGAAATGAGCAATTTGAGGAATGAGGCAAGGCGGAGGGCACAGACATAAATATAGTTAAGAATGTTCGATGTTAGTAATTCAGTTATTCAGTAAAGATTACGAGAGAATAAAGTAGTTTAATTGAGTTTTCAATTGTTTGTATTTTGGATGTACTACAGAGAAGTAAGGTACAGGGGATACACACTTATAGGACAACCGTGCGCTTTCAGCTATATTATTTTGGGGTGGAGATGTATTTGTGACGATCAAGAAAGAGCCAAAAGGCTGTAAAGAAATTCCTATCGCACAGGGCACAGGGTCTTCCTCCACCATGAATGTTGTAGTACATGAGAGTGAGGGGGCGGTGCGGGACTTTGCCCTAGACACCAGCGACTAGTGCTAGACACCTCTTAGGTGTACCGTTGAATGTTTCCTCTGTACCTTACTTCTCTGTGGCTATACCTACTTAGGTAAATAATTTTATAAAACCTGGGATATTTATCTCTTCAAGAGTAGGCCTATTTAAAATTTAATAGTAGGGCCTATTACAATATAGTGAGACCTTAACCTGATTTCCAGGAAGAGAGATTAAAGTTTCTGAGATAAAAAATGTAGGAGTAACATAGAAAATAGACTTTTCATATGTGCCGTTATGTTTATAGAATTGTTAACAGCTACAGTATTAAAACCTTATGCAAAACCAATATATTAGTGAATAAAAGGTCTTTTGCCTTAAATGTTACTATATTATGATACCTCACAATAAACCCTACAAACCCTGACGTCAGAATGTCTCAAGCACTAGGGGGTTTAAGGATTACCATCGAGATAACATAGGCTACTTAAATAAATGGGAAATATCTTGGCACAAAAGACCCAAAATACAAGAAAATTTTATAAAATATGAGAATAATAATGTTTTCCAAAACGTCCATTTAAAATTCTGTGAGCGATAGTGAAATATAAAATCAACTGTGTACCGTATTAAGTAAATTTATGTGTTTTTTTTAGTGATTTAGTGACACAGGTAAGCTTCCTATCTCAACTAAATTAATTAGCTTTCTCTCTGTGCCATAAACATAAAATCTGTAATTATTACTTTCTTACTTTTACAATTCAAGTCTCGTACATTAGCCGTCAGTTGAGAAACCATGTTACTGTCCATGTAGAGACAAAGAACGAAGAGTACTTGGTCAATCTGATAGACTCGCCTGGTCATGTAGACTTCTCCTCGGAAGTTTCCACTGCTGTCAGACTCTGTGACGGAGCCATCATTGTAGTAGATGTCGTCGAAGGTGTTTGCCCCCAGACACAGGTGAGGAAAATTGCCTTTCAAATATCAGTTTGAAGGGGTTACTGGTGTTATACAAACGATTATAAAAGGATGTTTGTTATATTATTATTATGTTGATCGATAACTCAACATTTTCACAACATATCCATACTGTTTGAATTTTATTGATAACGGTGGTTAAGTTATTGTTTTTAACCCTACATCTGGCAGTTAAAACAAATCTCTACTGGCAGGCAATTTTTTTACTGTATGTACATATATTAGGCTACTTTAGAGCTGTATAAATTATGTTCTACCTTACAAAAGTATGTACTATTATATATTTTCTTTTTATGGACATTACAAGGTCAAATTTAAACCATGAACAGATCCCAAAAAGATTTTTTAGAACTCTTTACTTGTAAGAAAAAAAAAAAATAAATAAACAACTAGTGACTAGTTGTTTGCCAGTGGAGAAAATAGCGACTAGTCAATAGTCGTTTGCAAGATGCAGGGTTAAAAGATACTTTGGACATTTTCCATCATTGAATAGTACATCACATGGTTTACAACTTTTTAGGATCTGATATCTATTATCTAACCTGTTCAAGGAAGGAATATAAAATACAAAGAACACCAACTTGTAGTAATATTGTCCACAAGATAGAAGGCTACCACCAGACATTTTCAGAAATCACAAAGGTTTGGAGCAGTCACACAAACATAAAATAATTTAAAAAGGGGAGAAATCATTAGTTGTAATATTTTATTAACACCTTCCTCAAAGTAGCTAAAGGTAGGATTGCCCTCCCCCCACAAAAAATACTTTTCTCTAATTACTTTATCTTATTTACTGAAGGTATACCCGTACTTCTGTTGCAGGTTGCCCTGAAGCAAGCTTGGCTTGAAAACATTCAACCTGTGTTAGTGCTGAACAAACTAGACAGACTTATCTTAGAGGTCAAACTATCTCCTTTAGACGCTTACGTTCACCTTACACAGGTTCTTGAACAGGTTAGTATAGTAAATAAGGAAATAGAATAGAGCATAGCATTTTTTAGTATTCTAGTGTTTCCATTTGTTTATTGAATTAAAATTCAGCCATGATCTTTGTAAGTCCGTGACAAAATATCACTTTTTGCCTAAGTGACAATGTTGTTCAATGCTCTGGATACCAACTCTAGGAATCACCTACTCATGTCATGTTTGTTGTTCTTTCCTCTAGGTGAATGCAGTGACAGCCTCTCTGTTCACTACTGAGGTTATGAATCGCTCAGAGTCAGTTCCCAGTTCAGGAGACCAACTCCAGGATTGGTCAGATGGGCTGGAGACTGCAGACGACTCTCAGTTGTACTTCTGTCCTGATCAGGGCAATGTGGTGTTTGCCAGCGCGGCGGACGGTTGGGGATTTTGGTATGTCATAGGAAATCTCTTCCTTTTTTCCTATCAGAAGAATATTAATCCATTACAGATAGAAAGGTAATAGGCCTATTGCTTTTGCTGAAACAGGACTTTGATTTTCTCCAACTTAGTTTTTGGAAACAAAGGTGCAGTGTGTGTATGGCTGAAGATTTGTATTAATATTGTGAGTTAGTGCTGATTAGATATCAATCCAAATTTTTTTAAGAGGTTTGTGACCTCTTTCAACTTTCAACCTTGCATTTGCCAACATCGATCTAAAATCGTTTGCATTGATATCAATGATAGCATAGATGAGCTGGTACAATACAAGAGTGAACTAGCCAATACCTTCTAATAAATCTTTAAGTGCCCACGACATCACTGTCTGAAGCCAATGGTTAAAATAGCCTATGCTAAAATATTGTTAAATGGTTAACTCATTCATTGGTTCATCGGAAATTGATTTAAGCATGAGTTTGCATTGCCACTGGTTATCCTAGAACTGATAGAAATCTTTTGAGTCATCCACCAACACCAATATATTGGTTGTTATAGCGTACGAGACTTTGCGGCTGTGTACGCTGCTAAGCTGGGTGTCAAACAGGCTGTGTTGGAGCGTACTCTATGGGGAGACTTCTACCTCAACACCAAGACCAAGAGAATAGCCAAGGGAGCACAAGAGAAGGCCAAGAAACCTCTGTTTGTCCAGCTGGTACTAGAGAACATCTGGGCTGTGTATGAGAACATCGTCGTGCGCAAGGTAAGGAACTGACTCAGAAACCATGTCTGTGATAGCACGATCAGATTTGTCTGTGTGGTATGAAATACCCCTCTTCCTGTTGCAGGAGAAATTCAGAGGTTCCCCTAGACATTTATCTAATTAGTTGCATTTTACCTTCTATTTTTGGCCTTGAAGGAGAGGAAGTTGAGCATTGTGATTTTGACTCTTTTTCACATCTTTGAGGCTGTAAAAACAAAAAATAAACAAAGACAAATCATTAGAGTATTTTTTATCAGAAAAAAAACGTTCACTAGATACATTTCTTTCAGTATTATTTAGTATTATTTATGTTATTTTTTACGTTTCACAGGACAAAGACAAGTTGGTCAAGATGGCTGAAAGTTTGAATGTGAAAATGGCAGCAAGAGACTTGAGGCACACAGACTCTAAAGTTCAACTACAGGCCTTCTGTAGTCAATGGCTGCCCCTGGCGCATGCAGTATTGGGTATGTTTAGCAGCTGGTTACAACTTTTGACTTACAAACCTACATTTAATTTGCTTTGATGAAGTTAGTTAGATACCAGATAAATAGTGAATTATTGAGAAGGGAATTTAGTGAATGGGAGGGGCTTAATTGGATTCTTCTGGATTGCACACCAGGCATGCTTCTACCTTCACTTGTGCTATCTTTACAGGGTGTTCAAAAAGGGTTGGGAAATAATTTACGTAGTCATTCCATGGATCAAAATAAAGTGAAATTTACGAATAAAATCTTTTTTCAAAATCCCTTTGATAACAAGATATTCACCATTTTGTAATTTGTATATAAACATTTTTATTTTTGAATTGTCTAACCAATCTTTATGAAAAATGGTATGCAAATTATGTTAATATAGAAGAGACCCATGTTAGAAACAAAGTTAGCCTACCTTGATCCAATTTAAAATTTCAAAATGCGGCCATATTGATAATTAATTTTTAAAACTTAAATTACAAAAACTGTCAAGAACACTTTTATATTAGCCTAGTTAATTGTTATTTGATATTTTTGAACTTTGAGACCAATTTTCCAGCTTGTGTCAAAATGTTGGTTATATTGTTTTGTTAGCCTAGAAATTAGTTTAGTCTTTAGTGCGATAGGGAGATCCTAATCAATTTTATTTTGATTGGAAGAGGGTATTGTTTATGTGATTGTATTGAATGAAATTTAAACAAAGGTTTGTTAGTCCTGGTATACAGTCAATTGAATTGAACCTCTAGGGCGGGAGAGTGATTTCGTTGCACACCTAACTGATTTTGAGAGTTTTGGACTTTTGCATTTTAACATTGTATAAAAGGCCTTAATTGGCAGACCCCTAGGAAAAAAAAATTATCAAGTCTTTATTATTTTCACAGAAATGGTGAGTTCCAAGTTGCCTTCTCCTTGTGAGATAACAGATGAGAAGGTGGAGAGGTTGATGTGTGGTCAAGGCCAATCCCTGGGGAGTCTTCCCCCGGAGTCACAAGCCCTCAAGCAGGCCTTCCTGCAATGTAGTAGCGAGCCTGACGCCCCTGTCATTGTGTTCATCTCTAAAATGTTCCCGGTAAGTTCCCACCTTGTACTTAATGCTTAACTTGCTTAGAATCCCCCTAAAAGTAACAAGTATAGGCCTTCTGACCTATACCTTGTTATTAGAAAACCTCAAGGGATAGATAGTGTATGCAAATGAAAAAGCTGGATTGTCTTTGAAATTATGTCTAGGCTTTTATAAGGGTACCATCTAAGGGACTCCATTCTTTCTTAAAAAAAAAAGTTCTTCTTGAACTGTAGTTTCATCTCTCGTGACTTTAATCTTGGTGATTGTTAAACGTTAGAAGGAATTATGTGGTCCTTCAGCAAAGTTGGGCCCACATTAAAAATGCAGTTCCTCCATTACAAATTGTACAGAAATTTCAAAAAGTCAATTGTAAGGTTAAGAAGAGTAAAAAGAGCAGCCTGCTAGGCCATCGAGAGAAACATTTAGAAACTTAGGCCTACAGATTAGTTAGAGGTATTGTTTATATACTCCCAAAAAACAAAACACAATCCAACTTACAGCTCTGTATAACTTATATTTCTCAGTAATATTTTTGTTTGTGAGATATTAACAAATTATTTAACAGATTTAAAAGGTTTATTATGTTGTAACAATTAATGATTTATGTGTATACATTTACAAAACATTTTTGAAATGTTATTTAGTATTGGTTTCTTTGTGATTGTGGTAACACTAACCCACCTCTGTATTTGTAGCTGGAGAGGAAGCTGTTACCACAGAATCGACCCAAGCCACTCACACCTGAGGAGATAGCCAAGAGGAGAGAACAAGCCAGACTGCGATTGGCCAACCAGAACTCCACACCTGGTGAGTCTCAAGTCCACAGTACTTGACTACAGCAAAATGTATTTCGCAGGGTGTTTTCACATCTAAAATTTGTGTGCAGCAATTTATAAAGAAACGCAATATTTTGAAGTTTGTTTTTGAATTTTTGGAAGATTGTAGCAGGATGGGTTGAAGATTACATCTCAACACAGCGGGATCAGAAAATTAACAGTTACGCGCTGTGCTTGTTACTGGGGGAAAATTCACAACTTCCTATTTGCTGTTAGAATGAACATTCAGAAAAGTCTATAGTATCTTACCTTGTTTAGATTGTAATTTTCCATTAGAATATGTACAAAAAAATGTTAACACAACCATACAAATGACATTATAAGAATGTCTAATTGGGATAGGGGTTTAGCCCATGAAAAAAAAAACCATTAACCAGCAATATATTAAAAGCCTATAGAAAAAGACAGGGACAGGTGTTTAGATAAGGGCAAGTCTAATTAAGGGTTAACATTCTTGATAGACAATAGCCTCGAAGAACATTGCAAAAATATGGAATCAAAATTATCATCTTCGCTGTGTATGAAAATAATCTTTATAGCAACCCTTTAACTAAAAACCACCAAAACCATGAGCAAAGTTTCTAAGGGTTATCTGTCTCAGGAGATGGTCAGCCGCTGCCTGATGTTCCGCCAGATGGAGGGGGAGGGATAGAAGGAGACCAGGACACACTACCCCCACCCCCTGCGGAAGAAGATGATGTATTTATTGCGTTTGCCCGAGTGTTCAGTGGCTGTCTGAGAAGAGAAAGTACTGTGTATGTACTGGGCCCTAAACATGACCCCGCTGTGGCTCTTCAAAAGGTACTGGCTATGGCTTTACAATGTGCTTTATCACATTTTAATTAGTTTAGTCAATTTCAAAATCTCCTATGTTGTTTCCTATAGAGATTCTGCTAGGAAGAGAAATAAAGTTGCAAGACCGAAAAGAGTAATGAAAAAAAATTATGTACTTATGGCAGTGCAGTGTATACAATAACAACATAATGTTGTCATTTTTAGTCATAACAGAAGTCACAGGGTGTCGATGTTGTGAAAAATAACATTTTACTGGGAATTTTCTGGGCATATTTACATTTCAACTCCAGATGCGTCAATCCTACTTTACAATGAAGATCAATTATCAATCATCGAGATGGGGACGCCACCTATGTGCGCGTATTAACCCAAATATGAGTGAAGTATGAGTGTAGAATGTTGTGCCATAATCTGTGTAGCTTTTTTACTGGCTAAGATCAGCTGTTTCATTAGTCAGGATCATTTTAAAGCCCTATGATCAGGAACAGCTGGGTCCAGTTTTCCTTTTGAACCATCAAAAAGCTACTGACTTTTCTCAGGATTGTTAGGTGAGCACTGTAACCACTCAGCTGCCTAGCTATTGAATTGTAGGAATTATTTGTATGTTTCGTTCATAGCTTGAATTTGGTAGTTTAGATTTGATGCATTAAAAAGTTTTGTTCTGGTTACGCTTAGTTCCAATGTTATCTGATCCTCAGCAAAGACAAGGAGAGGAGATTGTTGCTGGGGTGACACTGAAGGATCTCAAGTCAGGTCAGCATGTGACCAGAGTGACCTTGAGTGACCTTTACCTCATGATGGGTCGAGAGTTGGAGACATTGGAGTGTGTGCCAGCTGGAAATGTGCTTGGTAATATATTGTTGTCTCTATAAAGTCAGATATTTAAGAGTATAGAAGTTTGTCGTAATGTTCTAGCAATAATTCCGTTATGACTCAATGAATAATGTGGTAAGAAACTGGGCAAGGTGTAGTAGAGGTAGAGAGAATATTCTCTTAGGATACAACAGGTTATCTATATAAATAAAATTAGAGTTTTGTCTGTACATTGCTCAGAATTATATACTTTTAGGTTATTTTTACGTTTTATACATTAAAGAAGCAGAAACGAGTCTTATCTAAATTTCTGTCTGTCTGTCTGTCCCTTTGTCTGTAACACTCAAGATGGCATTTTACGCAATCTTCTCCGTGAAAACCAGAGTACATATTAAGATCCAAGTCATTTTAATGTATTCACTGGATTGGCGAGAGTGTTTTTAGTGATTTAAATATAGCCTCACTACTTTGTAAATAAAATTACGGACGTTCAAAAATGCAGTTTTGTGCGATTTTTGTCAAGTTTTCGTTCAATTTTTATCACATAATCGTCTATGAAATAACGAACAGCTGTTCGGATCAAGATTATTTTTTCTAGCTGTCAATGACATGTTTACAAATGTTGTTTACAAATACCGCAACTATTTCGAATCACGTTTTGAAAGCAAATCCCAACCAAGTGAGATTAAAAACGTTTTTCTTACATAATAACGGATTTAATTAATCGCAAGTGCAATAATATAGTCTAATAGTGTAACCGTAAATGAAATTAAATAACTAGACATCGTCCAAATCGGAACCAGAAATTCTTTGAGTATAAAATGTTTCTTGAGTTTTGACAACCAGAAAGAAGAAGACCTTGAATCAGTGTTGTATAGGGCTGTGACACTGAAATGATCGTCGCCAATAGCTTACAAAAAAGGTTTCCACTCATTGACGGTGCTTCAATGGCGGTTGTGTAAAGTGTAAAGTAGGTAAAAAATCACAACTGCAGTGGGTGATTGTAACAGAGGTTTAACAGAGGAAGTGCTAAACTCGCTTTTCCAATTTGTCACTTTCTGTTTCTACTCACCGTGTGATGCAATCGCTGGACCATACAGCCAATAGGCCCATAGCTCATATCTTGGGTATGTAAGCCTACATATTTATTCATAACAACCTTTTTGATGACGATCCTTGATACCGGTACTTTTCCATAGAATACATGGCCTACCTACTTAAAAAATAAAATTACAAATGACCAAAACCCCAACATTGTGTGATTTTCGTCACATTTCCTTCTAATGTTAATAGATATACTAATCATTGTTTAGAGAATGCGTAATCTATTAAATAACAAAAAGTTGTTTGGGTAAGGTTGCTTTTTTTTCAAACTGACACCGATAAGTTTACGCTATAACTTTTTACGAGAAAATCCAAAAGCAAGAGATCAATAACCTCGGGACTAGATATTAATGTATTTAGTTGGTCCGATTTACTATAGTTCTTAGGTAGGTTCTTACGTAGGTACTGGTTCTTTTCCTTAGAACCGGTAGTTTACAAATTTGATATCGTTGGTGTTGCACCTTATTTATCAGAGCCGTCCGTATTCAATTTAAGTGATGTCTTAACTCTGTATAAGTTTTGCTTTTTCTGTCTGGATTCCAAATCTTAGCTTACCTGGTATGCTAAGAAAATGATAACTATTTGAGTAAAACATTTGTTGGGCAAACCATCATGAATTGTTTACGCCTTTATATTGTTTATGTGTCAATAGTTCGTGGCCTTTGTTGGATTGTTCTATTGTGTTGTTTTGTTGTATGTTGGTAACGCATTAATGTCCTTATTTCTCAGTGTTTCACGGAATGGACAAGAGTACCTTTGATACTGTACTGAAAATGTCAACCGGAATAAAGTGTTAAATGGTGAGGTTGAGGTAGTACTTTAAATACGTTTAAGTTAACCGATGTGGAAAGTAACTTTCAATTATAGGCCTACTTTAGGGCTACGCTTCATGGATCTATAAAACATTTTTTAGTTTAATCATTGGACATATGGACCAACACGATCCGGGTGACATTTAATTGCGAAGCATTTATTTTGGCTTGAACTGTCAGATACTGTATTTGCGAAGGTTTATATATAATAGTTTTGCCAGCATATCTGCAAATATACAAACTAAATGCTGTTCTTAATCTTAATATAAGAAGGTTTCAACTGACTACTATAAGATCCCCGTGCGTAGAACGGGCACACAGCTAGTATACCTTAAAATATTTTGTTTATTTTTTATTTTTTATTAGTAGTGCAAGAGCTAGTAATTAGTGTACCGGCGTGTTTGACCTTACCCTTGTACTGTGCTGTCCCTCCCCACCAACCCCCCAGCCTCGTGCACAGCTCCTGACCGACACAACTGTATGGACAACTGTAATTTGCTCCCACAGAAATTGTCAATTGCATTTCATTCATCCTCAAGAAAAATTTAAAAAAAATTATTCAATCTCCGTTTAAATTCCCAATCAACAAATTTAGGTCATTAAAAGACTATATGCAACCCAGCAGACGTACAGGCAGAGTTTGTCTATGTCTGCTGATTCCACAAGACCAATTAATTATAACTAGCAACAAAATTATAAGTTTATTATGTTCATTTTGCTAGTTTTTTTTTTATAATTCAACATAAGTTCACAACTTTGTTATTTTTTTTTCTGTTCTTGATTATTTTATGTTGTAAACTTAATATTATAGTAAAAACTCAAAAACTGTAAACATTGTACTTTGTAGCAAATTTAACGGAATAAATCATTCATTCATTCAGCTTCATAATAAATATAATAATTTCTGTGATACCAATAGTAGCACAGTTGTTAAGTGATGCACCATGTACACACGTCTATTATCTTGTAGGCTATTTATCTTTATATTTAGGTTATTGTCCTCAATGACAATTTTTATTTTTTATCACAGTAATCCTTAAATTCCATTACTCACCTTTTTGTGAGCAATACTCATAGTTGTCTTGTGTCACTGCAGGTATCGGAGGTTTGGAGGACCATGTGTTGAAGACTGCCACACTGTCGTCGAATCTCGCATGTCCAGCCTTCAGAGAGCTGCAACTAATGGCTGTGCCTATACTGCGAGTAGCTGTGGAGACCAAACGACCGTCAGATCTGCCAGCACTCGTACGTGGTCTGCGTCTGCTCAATCAGGCCGATGCTTGCGTTCAGGTGTGTCAGAATAAGTGCCCTTCACCATTATCCTACTGGTCTGTGCTGTGACCTGAACACATTAGAGTACAAATACAAGTAACAGTCAAATGAAAAAGCGTTATAATGTGAAGTTCTAGTAATACTCCTTTTAAATACTCACTCATCTCTCTGAAATACCCTTATCTATCTATCTATATATTAATAGGCAAGCATGTTTCTTTAAAACCTTTTTTCTCAGCTCGTGTGCATCATAGTGAAAATCTACGCATACTGTTAGAAAGACATTTTTCTGTAGGTGTGCAGAATCCCTTTATAAATTAAATAGGCAAAAAAATAAGCACAAAAGATTGATTCTAAATTTTAAAATATTAACATGGGTTTAAAGGGTTGCCATGCTGGTGACGAAATAACAACGAAATATAAACATAAAATAAAAACAAATGGGAGAAATTCCAATCACATGTTTTATTTACATCTTGGGATGAAAATAGAGAAGTCTGTACCTTTGACCATAGACAAAAATTCTTTTTATCTATGCTTTGACTCAAGTCATTCCATCCCCATGTGAAAGTTGTCACCAGTTTTTTTAATTAAATTCGTCGTAGTTGATGTGAGCCACCGCCAGAGTGTGCTGATCTAAATTACTAATATCTGTCGAATAAACGATGTTTTTTATTAATTCAACTTTTGGAATGACTTATTATGAGCTATAGCAACTGTTATGACCCATCCACTTTGTCATCAACAAAAAAAAGGAAGAAATTAGAATTTTAGACACGAATTCTGTATGGCTCACACAATTACAATGTTTTATAATTTAATAAATTGCGACAACTGGTCCATATAGATAGGATGTCTACTTCAGTATCCAATAGTCAATGCGTGTACATTCAATATTTTTGGTCGAAATTTCGACCACTGGACGACCACTAGTCTATATATTAATAGGCAAGCATGTTTCTTTAAAACCTTTTTTCTCAGCTCGTGTGCATCGCAGGGGAAATCTACGCATACTGTTAGAAAGATATTTGCCTGTAGATGTGCAGAATCCCTTTATAAATTAAAATAGGCTAAAAAATAAGCACAAAAAACGAATTTGAAAACTTCAAAAAATTAACATGGACCAACTGGGTTGCCATGATGGTGACGAAATAACAACAAAATGTAAACAGAAAATCAAAACAAATGGAAGAAATCCCAATCACATGTTTTATTTACAGTGTGGGGAGAAAATAGAGAAGTCTGTACATTAATTATTTTTGGTCGAGTTTCGACCACAGGACGACCACTAGTATATATAAAAGGGTTAATTCCTGGTAGAGAATACATTCAAATAAACTTGCTTAAATATTCTTCCTTGAAAGTTCTTGACCCTGTTTGTTCCAAGGACAATTATCAAAGTCAAGTCAAGTTTTCTGCAAACGTAAACCAATTTTACTGATTGCAGGTTATAGTTCAGGAGACAGGGGAACATGTGATAGTCACTGCAGGAGAAGTTCACCTGGAGAGATGTATTGAAGATTTACAACAAAGGTAACATTCTGGTCTTTAACTCTATAAATTACAATATAATCAATCGTGTATCGTTATTGCTTTCATCTTTGATTTAATTTCCTAATTTAACTTGCTTATAAATAACATACGTAACTAACATCATTGATCTGTTGAGTTCAATGAAGATTGGTTGATCACAAAACTCTTGAATACTGAAATCTTTATGGTTGAAATTTTTTATAATCTGAAATAGATGGAAGACTCAAAATATGACTGTTTGTTTATCATCCAAAAAATATGTGCAGCTGAGGCAGTTGTTTGTAGAGAAATAAACAACAGTTGAATGTGACATGATTTTTCTGGGGTATTAACTCAGCTTTACAGGCTAACTTTATTTTAGTCAAGCATTTTGCTGTCTCTAATCTGTTTTCCCATTCCTTCAGTTTTACAGTTCTTAATTCCTTTGAATAATTGGCTTGAATAACATGAAAAGACAAATTAATAATTCCCCACTAAATTGAAAACTATTTAACAATTGGTAATTTTTAACTGGGCATTTAATATAATGGGAATGTTCTGTTACAGATATGCCAAGGTGGCAATCAATGTTTCTGAACCAATTGTCCCCTTCCGAGAGACGGTTGTTCCCCCTCCAACTGTAGATATGGTAAATGAAGCCATTCAAGACCAACAAGTCGTAGGAAAAAAGGTCAGTTGTAAGGGTAAACCTAAATGTAGTTTGATTTTTCAAATTAAAATAATGTTTTTCTCACTCATAGACTTTTTATTTCAGGTAAATTAATTTAGAGTCAGTTGTTTGACTAGAACTACCCAAGCATAATTGTTCAGGGGGTGCTAACTCGATTGTAGAAGGCAAATCTATGTTAATCCAAAAATTGTAATTACTCTAATGAGTAATGACTTTATTTCAATCCTGTACTTCTATACAATACAAAATAGTTTGGTGATTGTTTGGAGTCCACTGAAGAACATAGTTAAAACTAAGGTTTTGTCAATTCTCGATACTCATTCTTGATACCACCGATTCGCGGGAGACAATGATGATGTCTACACGACCCAGGCAGGTGTTCAGAATTTTTCTGTGACTACGGAAGATGATGATAATGTCAACTAGAACTGTAGGAGATGTTCATGATTTTGTCACTATTGAGAAAGTCCATGATGATGTTTACAAAACTACGAGTGGTATTCAAGATTTGGCCATGCTCATGAAGGTGATGTTAATGTTTCTGTGCCTGCTAGAGATGTTCAATATTTTGCTACTAACCTACAACACAACTGTGATGATTTCGTCACTGCTGAGAGGTATTCAGGATTTTTATGCGATTTATGGGATACGATGATAATGTCTACACAACTTCAAGAAATTATCAAAATTTTGCCTTGATAGCTGAAGACTATTATTTTATCCACACAGCCATAGGAGATTTTCAGGATTATGCCATTACCGATTGAGACAATGGTGATGTTTCCGTTACCACGAAAAATGTTCAATATTTTGCTCACATTGTGTGAGAGGTTGATGATGTTTCTGTTACCGCTAAGATATTTTGAAGGCTAGCCGCTATCCTGGAAGACTGTTATTGGTTTGAATTTAATGAGCTGGTTAAAATGTCATTTTTTACTTAAAAACATCTCACTATCCCTAAATCACTTTGTGTATTGACATAAAGTCAGGGTTGGTGTAGTATAACCAATATATAAACTTTTGTAAAATAAAATACCCCCGCCGCTGCAAACCTGTAGACTAAGCAAATTTCCATTTAGGCCTACCTGATTTGACCACATGTAATAGACAAAATGATCGAATCCCTCACTAAACAGCTGCTTACTTACATTAGCAGGATTGGAAATAAGCTGGAATTTGTTTTGAGAGCTTATCTTTACATGAAAAGCATTTTCCGTATTTTTAGGCTTAGTTTTTTAGCTACATTAATTTTCATAGGTTAAGTTAATAATAAATTATCTTTTTTTCAGGAATCGACAGATGAATCGGTAGGCGAAGGTGGACTAGTGACAATAGTGACCCCCAACAAACAGTCTGTAGTGAGACTGAGGGCAGCTCCTCTACCTCAGGACATCACAGATCTGCTAGAGAACAATCTGGAGCTGCTGAGGACCCTGGACAGGTACTCAGCAGTGATGTCTCGGGTCCGCGGAATTGGCTAACTCTGGAACTCGCTAACCCCATGTTAAACGCCCTATCTTCAAATTTGGTCGATGAGAGGAACTCGCTAACTTGTTCGGTTTCGGAATTGGCTAACTCCGGAACCTGCTAACCCGCTCTAGAGCCGGGTTAGCGAATTCCGTCCTCGTACGGAAGTCGCTAACTCGGTCCCTCGGCGGAACTCGCTAACTCCCAATCAGAAGCCTCTCGGGCCGTCCAATGGGAGCCAAGCACAAATATTTTTGGCCAGTGTTGCCGAAAGTGTAGTACCTATATCGTATCGGTACCATAATGTTGTATCCTACGATTAATTAGGAGTAAGAACAACGTATTCGATAAAATAAATATATTTGGAAGTATGTTTAACATTATTCATATGATTATTAGGGTGGAAAATGCATTATAGTCTTACCATAGACTAACCAACACAAGTAAACTTTACATCCCATTGTAAACTTTGAAGCTCGTTTTTCGTGTCTAGTTCATGTCCGGTGACACTGATCGCTAGTGTCGACAAAATATTATTTGATAGTTAACTTCATGATTTGTTCTTTACTGTTTGGTTATATAACTAGGGGACGTGTTATTAGTTGTGATTAGAAAGTTTTATTTGGTTAAACAAAGTTTTTGATGACTGAAAACAAGAAACAGTAAACAAAACACGACCTCTAAAGACAGTGCACCGGACAGAACTAACAATAAAACTGTCTTCAGCTGATCCATAAGGATGATAAATCATACTAATATTATAAATGTGAAAGTTTGTGTGTTTGTGTGTTTGTTTGTTTGTTTGTATGAAGTTCAATCACGCTTTAACTACTGGATGGATTGGGCTGAAATTTGGCATAATGATAGCTCACATTCCCGATTAACATATAAGCCTATTCTTATCTCAAAAATCCTTCCGGGCTCCGCCCCAGTGGCTCTATGGATCCCTATGTTAACCTTATAAGTATTCACATTTAAAAGGAATTAAAGAATTTAGTCAGCTGTTTCAACTAAACAAGTTGGTTCTATGATATGCAATAGCATTAAAACGTTATAAGGTTTACCAACAGGGTACAACACGATTAGGCCATTTTTTGTTTGAATTTTTGACAATAGCTAATTGAACTAAGCAGCAACAAAAGCTGTGATACGCAATGAGAACTATCAAAGTAGGATTGTTTACAGTTATTTTTAGGCCTATATGACCATTTAATGAATCTTTGTGATATTGTGCAAAGGTTTGATAATTTGTTTTATATTGTTTAGGTGCAGTAGTAGAGCATTATGGCTATGGTAAATGTGTTATACTATTGCATACTGTAAACTTCAAGAACCAAATTTTATCAAACTGTGTCGTCCCCCATTGCAAACACAAAGCTTGAGTATGACTGCAATAAACATTTTACACTTATATACCAACCCCGTACGAAGGACGGGTACTCTGCTAGTGTACTAATATAAGGGAGTATGTGTTATATGTGGGTTTCTTACTTAAATAGTAGCTTTTTGGTATGCAAAAAGATAAAAATGCACATTTAATTTGGATCTATTACATGTTATGAAATATCTATTTTCGTAGTCCGCCATTTGTTTCTTTTATTCGAATAAATACCATTTTGTGAGCTTCTGCAAATAAAATTTTATTGAGTTCGCATTTTATATACTGGGCTTGTAACCTTGAATCATAAATCATAATAAAATTTACACGTTAAACGTCATTACAGAATTACATTGTAGTGGTAATGTATTTTTATTTTTTTTTATTTCAGTAGGCCTATTTATTAAAGTCTAGAGTTTTTCTCCAGGCTGGTTCTAAATGGACCCAGGCGTTCTTGTTTGTAACAATTCTTATGAATGGTGGCCATAGCTAAAATTACTTGATCTTATCCAAAAACAAAGCTATTGTCTATTGTGTAGCTCAGTACCGGAACGGTGAACCGAGCAATGGCTTGGTATCGTTTATATAGTTTGTGAAAGCAATATAAAGGAAACCCAACACTCAAATCAGGAAAATCAGTCAATTTGTTTATTAAGAATCGTGAATTAAAATAACCCTGTCATGTTTTATTATATGAATATTATATCTTCTTCTATTTTTTACTAGTGGTGCTTAGGTGTACAATCTAAAAACGGTTTTAAAACATGTAACATTATTGCTAAAAAATTCAACACATTTTAGAATTAGGCAACTATTTACTAGTAGGCCTACAATGCTTTGGTTCAAACTATTAGGTCTAGATAAAAACTTAGTCTATGTCATCATATTTGTACAAGTAAGTTGGACGGTTCAACGACGAACATTTGATTTTAAATCTATGAATTAGTTATGAAAGTTACGATAGTTGATGACTGTATTAATTAATGGTTTTGGTTTATTACGAAATTTCGATTAAAACTGTTTTCCGTGTTAAAACTTGCGTGTATTTTAGCTTAATTTCGTAGGGGTCTAATTATTTAGTACCAATTAAACTGAATTTTCAATATTTTTCATATTCTATTATTTTCTTTTGTACTGATGGCATTAATTTTTAAGCATGTTTAGCCTCTGGATCACGTAATTTACTAATAAAAAGGTTAAATACCTGTAGTACTGTCAGTGATCCTGGAATTTAGGTCAGCGACCCAGGTTTCGAACTTAAAGGTTCATTTTCAAGCAGGTACCAGTTAAAAACACATAATCCTCTTCATAATTGTGGAGAGTCGTTATAACACGTAAGACACGAACACGAAAACACTAAACATTAAACAAAATTGGCCAATTATAATACTGGTACGGTAGCGTGCGTGGTGTAGCCGGCAAAAGATGAGTCATGACTGGGCACGCGTACGCGTCGATGTCGGAGCGTGACGTATGTGCCCCCTCCCACTCCCGTCGTCTTTGTCAGGTCCTCGCCTTACACTGACACTGCCATCTATCATATCTATTGCAGTATTGTAAATTAAATTTGACTCGAAGGATAATTTTTCATTGAGCAAATGGGTAGGACTGTTTTTAGATGATCGGTATATTTCAAACTCTTCGATGGTGTTCATATGCTTGCCTTTTCTACAGTAATGCAATATGTCCAGATTGGTATCAATGTCGGTGTAATTATGGTTTGTGTCTATCAGATGGTTTGCGAATGCAGATTTGGTAGATTTTTTAGGCAGGTGTTCTTTGAATCTTTGCGTAAACGAGCGAGCTGTTTGTCCAATGTAGTAGCTGGGACAGTCATTGCATTTAATTTTATAAATTCCTGTCTTATCAAAATTAGCAGTGTTTTGTACAATTCGTGGTTTTAGGAGATAAGATAATTTATTTGACGTTTTAAATGACATTTTAAAATTGTTTTTTTTAAATCTGAAATGACTAAAAACAATTTTAAAATGTCATTTAAAACGTCAAATAAATTATCTTATCTCCTAAAACCACGAATTGTACAAAACACTGCTAATTTTGATAAGACAGGAATTTATAAAATTAAATGCAATGACTGTCCCAGCTACTACATTGGACAAACAGCTCGCTCGTTTACGCAAAGATTCAAAGAACACCTGCCTAAAAAATCTACCAAATCTGCATTCGCAAACCATCTGATAGACACAAACCATAATTACACCGACATTGATACCAATCTGGACATATTGCATTACTGCAGAAAAGGCAAGCATATGAACACCATCGAAGAGTTTGAAATATACCGATCATCTAAAAACAGTCCTACCCATTTGCTCAATGAAAAATTATCCTTCGAGTCAAATTTAATTTACAATACTGCAATAGATATGATAGATGGCAGTGTCAGTGTAAGGCGAGGACCTGACAAAGACGACGGGAGTGGGAGGGGGCACATACGTCACGCTCCGACATCGACGCGTACGCGTGCCCAGTCATGACTCATCTTTTGCCGGCTACACCACGCACGCTACCGTACCAGTATTATAATTGGCCAATTTTGTTTAATGTTTAGTGTTTTCGTGTTCGTGTCTTACGTGTTATAACGACTCTCCACAATTATGAAGAGGATTATGTGTTTTTAACTGGTACCTGCTTGAAAATGAACCTTTAAGTTCGAAACCTGGGTCGCTGACCTAAATTCCAGGATCACTGACAGTACTACAGGTATTTAACCTTTTTATTAATTTTTAAGATCGAAATCATAAACATTTAACTGGCCATTGTACAGTTAAATAAATAAACACTTTTTCATGATTTTTCAATTGTCTTTGAATTACTTTGGGCTAGTTATCTGTTAAAAGTGGAATTGATAAAAGTGCAGTTGCTCTGATGACACCTCTAAGTCTTTGGGAAACAGATCATTTGCAATATTTCATTGTAACATCCAGGGCATCATCCAAAACAATAAAATAGATGAAATTAATTTATACCTCAATAGTTTCAACAGAAAACCGGATGTAGTTTGCTTTTCGGAACACTGGGTCCCATCTAATTGTAAAATTCCACTATTTCAATTTGATGGATATCAAAACGCTGCATCTTACTGCAGGGAAAATCAGAAAAGAGGGGGAGTATCCATTCTTGTAAATGATCATTTTAAAATTAAACATAGGCCTGATTTTGAAGAATTAACGATTGAGTCAAGTTTTGAATGTTGTGGGGTCCAAATAGTTAAACCCATAGATCTTATTGTACTGTGTGTCTACAGACCAACTGTTTATACCAAAGCTGCTTTTGATGTGTTTTTTGAACGTCTCCATTTCCTTTTAAGCTATTGTATAGATAAGACCCCTAAGGCGCATGTTTTACTTGCAGGAGATTTCAATATCAATGTTTTAAATTCTGACTTCTATACCGAAGAATTCTTATCAATTTTAAGTTCCTTTAATTTTTTTGCACATTTCAATGTTCCAACTCGAATTACTAATGTTTCTAGTTCCTGTCTTGACAATATTATCACTAATTTCTGTCCTAACTTGTGTAAAGCAATAGTTTTAGAAAATGGTTTATCTGACCACTTAACACAGTGTTTATGTTTAGATTATAGTTATTTTGAAAATAGACAACTGGAAACAAAGATAAAAATCAGTCCATCCTTAAAAAGAAATTATAGTAAAAAAATTTTGGATAGTTTTGTTAACGTTTTGAAGTATGAACAATGGACTGAATTTTTTAGCAAATCTGAAGTAATGACTGATGTTAATGTACTTTATAAGTGTTTTCTTCAAACTTTTAAACTGCATTTTAATTCTTGTTTTCCCTTAGTAAATAAGAAATGTTATAGTAAACATTTTGATAAAGGGTGGTTAACAACTGGAATTAGAGTCTCATGCAAAAGGAAAAGGGAATTACATGAACTTAGTAAAATGTCAAATGATACAACTTTTAAAGATTATGTAAAAGAATACAAGAAATTATTAAATAAATGTATAAAATCAGCTAAGATATTGTACAACAGAAATCAGATTAAAGAATCCTGTAACAAAACCAAAACAGCCTGGCATATTGTTAAAAAAGAGACTAATACAACTGACAACAGCAAAAAAGGATACCCCTTCTTGTTGCATTCAATGTCTGAAAGGGCGCAACTAAATCAAATTAATGCATTTTTTTCTGACACATGTAAAAGCTTGAATGTTGGTTCAGATTCTTACAAAGCTCTTGGCTTCCTACACAGTAGAATCCCTCCCGAGTCCAAGCTTATATCATTTAAGCCAGTGAACCTTCAAGAAGTCCAAGATATAATAAAAGACTTAAAGTCATCTAAAGCCTCTGGATGGGATGAAATTTCAACTTCATTAATGAAATCAAGTTCAGAGTTTATTGCTCAACCCATTGTTCATTTGATAAACATTTCTTTGTATACTGGTGTTTTCCCTGACCTATTAAAACTATCAAACATAATACCAGTCTTTAAAAAGGGTGACCCAAAAGATATATCCAACTACAGACCTATTTCTTTATTGCCTAGTTTCTCAAAAATATTTGAGAAAGTCGTCTTCAATAGATTGTGTGATCATTTTGAAACATCCCAAATTTTGGATACATGTCAGTTTGGATTCCGGAAGGGACGGAGTACGACAGATGCAATCTTTAGCTTTATTACCGAAGTCACAGGTGCTCTTGACAGATCGCAGGCAGTAGCTGGTCTCTACTGTGATCTGTCAAAAGCATTTGACTGTGTAAACCATAGCCTATTAATACAAAAACTAAACTTTTATGGTGTGTCAGGCATGGCTATAAAGTGGATAACCTCGTTTTTATCAATGCGGAAACAGTGTGTGGACCTACGGTTAATAAATCTGAAATCTGATTTCAAATTAGTCACAGAGGGTGTGCCACAAGGCTCAATACTAGGTCCACTACTGTTTTTGGTTTATATTAATGACCTACCTTTGATTTTAAAGTCAAAATCAGTAATGTTTGCTGATGACATTTCCATTATTTTCACTGATCATAGTAAAATTTTCATGCAACAAACAGCTGAACAAGATTTCCTTCAGCTAGAAAAATGGTTTGAAGCAAATGGTTTGGCGTTAAATAAAGATAAATCTCTTCTGATGGAATTCCAAAAAAACTACCAGAAATCAGACTCATTAACAAAATTAGATTTGAATCTTTCTCTAAATTCAGTAAGCTCAGTTAAATTCTTAGGCATCACAGTGGATCAAAAATTGACTTGGCAAAATCATATTGGTGAAGTTGTAAAAAAATTAAATAAAGCTCATTTTATGTTCATTATTTTATCTAAATCTGTTGACATATCCACTCTCATGATGGTTTATTACGGTTATGTCTATCACTTGTTTAATTATGGTGTGATCTTCTGGGGAAATTCAGATAGGAGAAAAAAAGTTTTTAAAATGCAGAAGAGAATTATCCGTATTATTTTTGGACTTAAAGGGAAAAAATCCTGTAAGAGTATTTTTAAAAATCACAAAATTCTTACTTTTCCTAGTATATACATATATAATTTAATTTTGTATATAAGACAAAATTTATCAAATTTTCCAAATAACTCTGATTTTCACAACTATAACACAAGACAAAAGAATAGCCTTACATACCCTAGACATAACACCTCCACCATTGAACATTCTCCATATTACTCTGGCATAAAATTGTATAATAGCCTGCCTAGCACCATAAAGGGTTTGACAGATTTTAAAAGATTTAAAACCAGTTTGTTCAAATTGTTGTCAGATAAATGCTGCTACAAGATTGGGGACTTTTTCAATTAGATATTAGTATGTCTAATCAATAGTTAGTTGTAATGGTTGAACAGTAAGTAGTTGTAGGGGAGAAAGTGTATACATATAGATTATAGCTCTTAATTAATTAGTGTAGTAAATTTGCCAAATGTATAGTTATGTTTATTCTTGACTTGACACAATTCATGTATAGAAATGTACTGTTTGAATAAAGGATTTTTTGATTTGATTTGATTTGATTTGATAACAAAAAACAATAACATTTACTGTATCTTCATTGACACTGACATTTTGAAATACGGCAGTGTACGATTATTTTGTCGTACAAGGTTGGCAACGCTCCGTGCAGTGGGCGCGGCCGGGTTAGCGACTTCCAGAGTTAGCGAATTCCGCCACGAGACAAAATCGAGTTAGCGGGTTCTGGAGTTAGCCAATTCCTGACTGAGACGGTTAGCCAGTTCCGACACACGACCGAGTTAGCGAGTTCCTGAGTTAGCCAATTCCTACGTCTCGATGTCTCTTATTGGCTAGTTAGTGATGTGTTTGAGGGTAGGTGAGGGAGGGCTGTACACTCCCAACAAACAGTCAGTAGTGAGACTGAGTTGTGCTGAGCTGTGACACTGACACGTCCACACGCTCCACTCAATGTCATGTCTCAGTGTTTTTGTTATAGTGCAAATGTTGGTTTTACGCCCGGAATAGGTTTGGTTTGTGTTTTGCAGCAGTTATCTGCAAATCCAGATCGAATGTCCGCTCTGAAACATGTGTTCGTCATAAGGCCTACGACTGTCATCCGTACCTGTCATGACTTTGTGTTTATTATTTTTGTTTAGATGTATCTTTCACCATCGTGTTGTGTATTAGTTTTTGCTCATTGTTTTGTCTTTGCAGTCCTACCATGGTTTTAGAGATTTTCGGTAGGTATGTGGGACGACCACTCACACTGTCACTATGTGGGGGCATGCTGTTGCAGTTGCTTGTCTGGGGACGGTGCGAGGAGCCGGCTCAGTGATATCGGACACACACACATAATATATACATGAATTTGAACGTATAGTGTCTTTGACCTTGGTGCTTCAAAACAAATAAGTAAATCACTCCCCGGTCTAGGTCTTACCATGAGACCTATGTTAATAGCTTATCCCCTATATGAGAAATTGGCTTAAATGCATAATTGATCTACATAATTCCCTTATTCACGTTATTTTAAAAACTGAAAAGTAGTTCTTTGTCTGAAATTCTAGTTGTCCAAAATGAGCCTTTCAGCCTCTATTTCAGTTCAAGCTGCCTGCAACATAGAATAGATAACAACATTGATGAACTTATATTAATAAAGTTTTATTTTCCTAGAGCACATAATGTACGTGCAGAGATGGCTGAAGGAATCAACAAACTCTCTTTGGATTCTTCAACAGCATTAGACGAAAAGACTAAAAAGGTATTTTACACTTTCATTGTCAAAATTACTTCATTCTTTCAAGCAGTTAATTCTTCCACTACAATGTCTCCTCATAGTTTTATTTATTTCTGCCAACAATTTTGATCATACTGTAGTTAACTGTTTGTAACTAAAAAATGTCACACTTCTAAAACAATCGATAAAAAGTGTTTTGCAACATGTTTTCTTCAGAGTTGTTTTTCTATCTAACAAACAATTCTGGTTTTTTTCAGGCTGTGGAGGCATTCAAGAATAATATTGCAGAAATGTTTGAAAAGCACGGTGGTGAATGGAGTAAAAAAACTGTAGAAGAGATTTGGAGTTTTGGACCAAGAAGGTGCGGCCCTAATATACTCATCAACAGGATACCTGGTGAGATATGTATTTTAGACCGTCCCACCTTAAATAAAGGGTGTCGGGCTTGGGTGGAAGGGGATGGCATCAGTGAGCTTAATAGGGATTGCAAACAACACCTGTTTTGCTTCTCTTTATGCTAGCATAGAGGAGAAGGACACAGATTTGTCTTTTTTTGGCTTTTAATTTGGTAATTGGTTAATCTTAGCATTATGACAAACGAGAGAAGAATATCTGAACCACTTTCAATATCTGTTCAGATTATCCTTTCGCTGAAGTTACTTTTTTAACAATCCTATACATTCTTTTAGCTAACTAATTTTTTTTATTAAAAAGTCCTCACTTTTTACCTTTTACCTTTTTCAACAGAACACAGTGGCCGGAATGTATGGAGTGGGGAGAGTAAGCAAGGTTGCCAACCCTCACTGCTTGAGTATGATAGCAGTTTTGTCAATGGTTTCCAGTTGGCAACACTGGCCGGTCCAATGTGTGAAGAGCCGATGATGGGGGTGGCTTTTGTAGTGGAGGACTGGACAATAGACTCAAGTGCAGAGTCGAACACAAGGTATGTGAATATATTTTCTAAAGTATTTTATATAATTTTTTAACTACTCTCAGAAATTGGTTGCAGGCAGGAATAGGCTACATTAATCAATAAAAATGTGATTCGGTTGGACAACAATTTTTCTAGTTGTAATTTTTTTTTATTTTTTTTTTTTTTAAGGTTGTCGGCCTCTTTCAACCTTGCATTTGCCCGTCCACATAGACTCTGAGCCTGTACCTCGCTGCCTTGGGCCCAAAGTCTGTGACGCTACTGACTGAGCCTCCAAAAATACAAATCTTGTATTTTGAAATCCATGAAAAATTGTAAATCTTTCTTGTTGTTACAGTGGAGTGTTTGGGCCTCTGTCTGGACAGATAGTGTCGGTTGTCAAGGATGGTTGTAGGAAGGCATTTCAAGCTCAACCTCAGCGACTCATGGCTGCCATGTACAGCTGTCATATACAGGCCAATGCAGAAATTCTAGGTGAGTAACTTTAATGTTTCATTAGCAAATTATTATTAGCCTACCTATATTTACTATTTAGCAATGTGGCCTGTGTCTGTTGTACAAAATGAAGAAAACTAGGCTAGGTTAAGAATCTCATTAAAGACGTTATTAAAGACGTCTGCCCAAGAAAAACCGGACTCTTTCCATTTAAGAAATACATATTTAGTATTTACATTTACTAAACATAGTCGCTGTGCTGCCGTGATAAGCTGGACATTTTGCACATACTCATCATAGACAAAAATACCGTGTTCACAGTCCAACACTCAATGGCTAATAAAACGGCATATACAGGAATGAATTACACCTTTCCCTACTCACAACAATAACCATCACATAAAAAACTTCCAGTTCCTGTTGGTCACCCTGTAGTTTTCGTCGTTGTGGCAGACCTGTATGAAAACTCTCTCCTCTTGCTCAATTGTAAATCAAGAGCAAATGTTTTTGACGTTGCCCAGGTTGTATTGGGCAAATTATCTACATTAAAGGATGCTGGAACATGAGGTGATTTGTTACTGGAAGGTTTTCCTGCAGCGTAAGTCTGGGGAAGACAGAACTTTTCTATATTCTCTTTATAGTGTCTATTAAATATTAACCTCAGGAAAAGGAATATGACTCAAAGGGAAACGAGGGCTTAAAAGGAGGAGTGTGTAACTTATCATAGTGTAAGTTATTGCTGTAGATAAAATAAATGATACATTTTAAGAGGCAGTATCCGTACATGAACCCACAACGATGCTTCCTTAATTTCACTGTCAGTCGCAATACAGATTTTTCCCCAAAGTGACTCTTCAACACTAGATTTGTGCCTGGGTGAACTCTGTCCTAACCAGGCTTTTGTTACAAGTTGGCAAAGCGATTTCGTCAGCACAAATGGAACTGAACTTAAGTTAATGAAATTCATCTGTGGGAATGAAATTTCTATGCAGAAGAAATTAAATAACTGCAGAGCGAGAACTGTCCCATTGTGCATGATATAACAGGAATAGAATTTTATATTTTACAACAAATTGTCACAAGAGGTTAAAATAATCAGCGTAACAACTGAAGCAAAATTTATTTCACAATTGTTTACAAATCCCACTAAGCTTAAGATAATAAACCCTAAGATCAGAGGAGATGTAAACTGAAAATCCTCAGCAATAAATAATATATTTACCACAAATATTTATAACTACGGTACCTTACAGTATAGATTTTCCCTTAAAAGATTTTTTGAAAAAAAAAACATAGACCTATTATTACCATTTTTGGCCATTTAGATGCGTAAGTATTAAGAATGTAACTTCAATTTAAATGTCTGATATGTTTGTGTGTTAAATGTGTGATGTAACAAATCTGTTGTGATGAATGAGATTAAAACTTTGATTGAACATAGTTATTACAATCAAGTTGTTGTAAAGATGAAATATGAAATTATAAACTAAGTTATATCAATAGGGCATTGAAATTGTATCTTTATATCAAAGTTTACACAATAATTGTACAGCAAAGTTTTGTACTTTTTAGTGAAATATGAATGTTTTTATGAACAGCAAATCTACATTGAGATAATGCTTTGATAATACACTTGTTGATTTAATTCCATTTTTACCATCCAAATAAATTTATTAAATTCAATTATCCGAGAGCTAATAAAAAAGGAAACTTAAATTTCATTTCATATAAAGCCACCGGTGGGTACTTAGCACACGATTAAAGATTTATTTTTCATCGATATTAAAACATTTATATAAACTTATTCTTTTGAACTATTTCTATTCCTAATATTAAGAAAGTTTTATACAAATTAACATAATTCCATACTAATAAATATATATACAACTATAGCTAGGTTCTAGGATATAGAATTGTATTTTTAAATAATCTATGACTATGTATATTAAGGATCATATTTATTCAAATTGTTTCATGGAAACATTAAAATCTTTATCCCATTATCTAAGTCAAATGTTTATATAAACAAATTTCTTGGAAATATGTTTATAAATTGAACAAAATCAAAGTGACAACTTTAATTCCTTTATAAACATACCTAAAATACAATAAATTTTATTTAACTAATCTAAATGTTAACGATTTTAATCCTAAATAATAAATAGTATAATTTGTTGAAAAACACAGGGATTTTAAAGCTACTCAATACACATTCTTAGTTTCTCACAAGTTACCCGTGTTTTATTTGGTACTTTTTGTAGTAGCCTATACAACATTTATGCAACATGTTGATTTGCCAGAAATAAATTAAAATTTTTCTTACATGTGCTACAAAGTTTTGAGTTGTTCAAAGAACTTAACAGAACTTGAACAGAACATGTTTTGTTGGCAATATAACAAGACATCTTAGAGTAGCTAAAGGAAAAGTTTTGTTGAATTTTTAATTAATTATATAACCTCACTAACATTAAGGGCAGCTTTTACAAAATGTAATCAATACATTTTCTAAAACATATTATAGGCTAATGAAGCTTTTATCCTGATACATATAATACTTGTTTCAATGGAAAACTGGCAGTTAAATTCATGCACTTTATTAAAGTGACAATCAAACTATTGTCTGTCCCGTTGTTATCACACAAGGTGTTTAGGCTCTGCAGTCCTTATCACATGGAAGGCTCAGTCTAAGGGTAGTGTCTTCATCATTTCAGACACCTTATCCCAAGGAAATGGTGGTTTTGGACCTGTCAAAAAAAATTTTAAATTAGGCTACTAAAGTCAAATAAAATAAAATAATATCTATTTTTTCCACAACAGTTTTACAAACAAAAAGACAAGTTTTAATTTATGCTACATAATTATTTTATTTACTTTAATAAACATATTAAAGTAATTAACAAAAACTGGAAAACTTTAATACTAATTTAAAAGATGTACCTTCCGATGAAAATAAAGTTTTATGGAAAATTCTACAGTGGTATGTGCATAGATTTGAGTATTTAAGAATGAATTTTTTTTTTTTTCTGAGCTGGATTAATTTAGGGGAAAACATTATTATTGGCTGATGGAAACTTTGAGCTGGATTTGATAAATATTTTAAAACATGTAAAACAATTTAGGCCTATTTAATATTTAGTTAACCCAAAATATAATCGTAAAACAATATCTTTGGTTTGCAATTGATTTATTATTTCTCCATAGAAGTACTTGTATTAAAAAAATATCAATATTTAAATAATGAGTTTTTACTTTCATTAATAAAGCCTCTGCAATTTTAACTTTTCCATCATCAGGTGTATGTAATGGATTTTTTACTCAAATCAGTAATTGACTGGTAAAAGAATAAAATTTAACAATCATAGATCAAAACAATAATTGATGTGATATATCCGGGTATTCTTACTTCTATAATGTGGTAAAATACTCTTACTTAATTATACTAAAACTCTAGTATATTTCTGTATACAGGTACTAAAGTATTTTTCTTTTATTTAATCACATCATTCTATTGTTTTTATTTTATTCAGTCTAACTTATTATTTTTAAAGTTTTAACGCAAATTCACTTCTCTTTTAGATAAAAAGTTGAGCTTCTGCTATTATTTTTAACCACTAACAAATAATAATAATATTAATATAATGTTTATGACCTAAGGACCAAAAGCTTCTTATCAAGGAGCTCTTTAATAATGACTTAATCAACAATCCAAACACAGTTATATCCATTTTGGGTTAAAATAACTGTACAAATGTATAGAAAACCATAGAGCAGTGAACAAAATAAAATAATCTCTACAGGTCATTTAGGTTTGTATCTAATTTGAGAACAGCTGGATATTGCTTTGAGATGGGCAAAGCAAGCAGTCAATTTCAGTAAATTACAGGATCTTGATAATTAGATGCATGCAATGGCTTCCTACAGACTGTTATTTGAATGGCTACTGGCCTAGCTGTACAGAAGCATAATTTGCTCTTGGAAAAGACATTCTTTTATTAACATGCTAAAAAATCACTATTGTTTCGGTCTAAGGCAGTCTTATAATATAAAAATATAAAGGTATATTTATAACTATTTGTATATTAATATTCATATATATGTGAGACACATTGTCTTTTATAAAAATAAAAAAACATTCAATTAACTTATTGAACTATTATTATTTATTGCATGCGCCCCAAATTTTTAGTTTTAAATCTTACAAGTCTCTCCACATATTCATAAATTATTTTATATTTTTTAGTTCGCTTAAAAACGTGGTATTTTTAAAAAGTTCTTTTATTTATAAATTAGTTTCTACTTTTTAGTCTTTAATGTGCAAATATGTTAAAATAGTTATTTGTATAACTAGTGGGCGAAGTGGCACTTTGCTGCACATGAGAGAAATGTTTACGCACAAGCCGTAGGCAAGTCAGTTTCCACTTGTGTTACACATTATATTTTTCCTACAGTTACTATAAATCATATAAATATTTAGTCTTCCAAACACTGTACAACACGTTTTTTAGGTTTGGTTAAATCCGAACATCTATACTTATCTAATACGCAAGCAGATTTTTTGTGAAAATTACTCCTCCGAAACTACTGAACCGATTGACATGTTTTGGTGTCATTGGAAAGAGTGTAACGTGAAGTTGTGCAGGAAACTTTTTTTATAGGGAAATAATTAGAGAGTGAGGCCCTAGGGCCCTTTAAAGTTCCGTATTTCTCCATAAGATTAACATGGGAAACAAATATTGTTATGAAACTCCAGCTGTTTTTAGAAATGCTGTTCTGCTATTTAATTTAATTTGTTTACAAGGAATTGTTTCTTGGTGCCATGTGGTCAATGAGTTATACTTTTGCATATATTTTAAATGATATACACTATATAAAATGATGGTACTATAATACATTAAGAGATATTCATTTAAATAATCAATAAGTACGATTGAGCCTTTGTCTATACGTTTTCTGGTTAGTGTTTTGTAACTGTTACTTATAGTACAGTATATTATATTATCTTAATGTGAAACCAATCTATTCTTTTCTGCATTCTCACC